GTAAGCCGTTGTTTTTCGGTGACTCGTGCAGCTCAGTCTGAAAATGTCCTCTAGCATTTGTGCCGTAAATGATGTTCCTCTATCCGTAATCACACATGACGGCGCGCCGTGCCGGAGGACGATGTGCTGCACGAAGAACTTCGCCACTTCAGACGCCGTGCCGCGGGGTAATGCCTTTGTCTCAGCATACCGGGTCAAGTAATCGGTTGCCACTATAATCCATTTGTTACCAGTGGCCGACAAAGGGAAGGGTCCTAGAAGGTCCATTCCCACGAGGTCGAAAGGTGTCCGTGGTGGTGTAATAGGGTGGAGAAGGCCCGCAGGTTTCACGGGTGGCGTCTTGCGACGCTGGCACTCGCGGCAGCCTTGCACGTAGCGGTGTACACTGGTCGAAAGTCGTGGCCAATAGTACTGCTGGCGCACTCTGGCGAGAGTCCGCGAGTAGCCCAAGTGTCCCGACGTGGGCTCGTCATGGCACGCGAGGAGGATGTCATCCCGCATGTCGGCTGGTACAACGAGGAGGAAGGCTTTGTTGCTACCTCGAGCATTTTTCTTGTAAAGAATGCCCCTCCTTAGACAAAAGGATGACAATTCGCGAGCGATGCGCCGAGGAGTGTGAGAATTTCGGCCTTCTAAGGAATCAATAATAGGGCGCAATTCCTGATCGGCTCTCTGTCTAGACATAAAGTCAGAATCACTGAGGGCTCCGAGAAAACCATCAGCATATTCCGAGTCCATATCAGGATGTCCCACGGGTGCTCGAGAAAGTGCGTCGGCATCTTCGTGCTTGCGCCCAGACCTATACACAATCATGATGTCAAACTCTTGCAAGCGCAAACTCCACCGAGCGAGACGACCAGACGGGTCACGGAGATTGGCCAGCCAACACAGCGAATGGTGATCGGTCACCACCTTGAAGGGACGGCCGTAGAGGTAAGGTCGAAACTTTGCCGTTGCCCACACGACTGCGAGGCATTCCTTCTCTGAAGTGGAGTAGTTGGCCTCGGCTCGAGAGAGAGTACGACTGGCGTAAGCTATGACATGTTCTACGCCGTTGTGCCGTTGTACAAGGACAGCGCCAAGTCCGACGTTGCTTGCATCCGTGTGAACTTCGGTATCAGCGTCCTCATCAAAATGCGCAAGAACAGGTGCCTCTTGCATTCGCTGCCGTAACTCTGTGAAAGCTGCTTCTTGCTCTGTAGTCCAGGCAAACGGTACATCATCTCGGGTGAGTCGCGTGAGCGGTTCGGCTATCGTCGAGAAGTTGGTAATGAATCGGCGATAATAAGCACACAAGCCGAGAAAACGCCGTACCGCTTTTTTGTCTGACGGCACAGGAAAGGTGGCGACTGCTGCAGTTTTTTCTGGGTCAGGCCGCACTCCATCCGCACTCACAACATGTCCCAGAAATTTCAGCTCATCGTAGCCGAAATGGCACTTCTGGGGTTTTAGCGTGAGTTCGGCCGAACGAATAGCTTCCAGAACCATTCTTAGACGCTTCAGATGTTCTTCGAAACTCTCGGCAAAGATGACCACATCATCAAGGTATACAAGGCAGCTTTGCCACTTCAAGCCAGCGAGGACGGTATCCATCATTCGCTGGAATGTTGCGGGAGCCGAACAGAGGCCGAAAGGAAGAACTCTGAATTCATAAAGCCCATCGGGAGTTACAAACGCTGTCTTCTCTCTGTCTCGCTCATCGACCTCTATCTGCCAATAGCCGCTCTTCAAATCTATCGATGAAAAATACTTCGCGTGTCGTAGCCTGTCGAGAGAATCATCAACCCGTGGAAGCGGGTAGACGTCTTTTTTGGTGACGCTATTGAGTTTCCTGTAGTCAACACAGAATCGCAGCGTTCCGTCTTTCTTCTTTACTAGAACGACTGGCGAGGACCACGGGCTGCTCGACGGTTGTATCACCCCGTCGTCAAGCATCTCTTTTACCTGCGTCTGTATAGCCTCGCGTTCTTTAGCCGAAACACGGTAAGGTTGCTGACGGATCGGGCGATGATCATCGTCGGTAATAATTCGGTGCTTCATGAGGGGTGTTTGACCGACTCTAGATGAAGAGGCGAAGCAAGATTTAAATTCCTTCAGCAGGGTATGCAGTGCGGCCTTCTTCTCGTCCGAAAGCTTCGAACTGACGTCGATGTGGTCCAGAAACTTATCTCCATCAACCATTTCCTCGGATGCGAAGCACTCGGTGACATCCGCTACACGGTCTCCGAAGGCCACGGTGGTGCCGCGGAAAATATGTCGGTGCTCGAAGTTGAAATTTGTGGCGAGTATCGGCGACCGTCCGTCGCGCACATGCACAATGCTTCGCACTGCAGACACACCTTGAAGCAGTAAAAGGGATACGTTGCTCTCGGCGACCACGTCACCGTCTTGGAGGTCTTCACAGGTGACTTCTACGAAAGCAGTCGCTCGGGGAGGCAACGTCACGCTTTCGTCGGCAACACGCAGCGCAGGTCTACGACAGCTATCAGCGCCTCGATCGGTTGCAAGTTGCGTCGAGAAAGTCACCATTCGCTCGCGGAGATTTATGATCGCGCCATTCTCTCGAAGGAAGTCCATTCCAAGGATGAGCTGACGAGAACAGTCGCGTAGTACGAGGCAGGTTACCACAAACGTTGACTCGCGTATTTCCACTCTTGCGGTACAGCGACCCAATGGAGTAATAACGTGGCCTCCAGCAGTGCGAATACGCGTCCCATTCCAAGGTGTCATCACTTTCTTAAGACTGGTTGCCAATTTTCCGCTCATAATAGAATAATCTGCACCTGTGTCCACCAATGCGCTGACCTGAAGACCGTCTATCAGCACGGGAATGTCGAGTGAGACTCGGCCACTGGGTTCAGACGCACAATCCGGCATTTCTCTCGCACTGCACTCAGACGTCAATTCAATGTCTGCAGCGTTTTGTGGAAGCGTCGATAGGAGGTCTTCCGCACTTTTAGTCCCAGCGACCTCGCCCCCGAAGGTCGCTGCCTTCAGTTTTCCCGACGAGGGCTTGGGGAACGTCCCCGTGCCATCGTACTGAAACGTGGTCCAATAGCTGCGGGTCGTCGTGGAGATGGAGACCGCGATTGACGCCGTGGGAAAGGCAGACGTTGCTGCGCGAGGTAGTCCTCAATTTCTCTTGGCCTCTGACCAACTAGGGGACGAGGCGAATGAATAGAGAAACCGCGCAGTCCAAGTTGTCGGTATGGACATTCCCGGTAGATGTGACCGGCTTCACCGCAATGGAAGCAGAGGGGTCTTCTATCCGACGTACGCCAAATATCGGACTTCCGCGGAGGGGCACGGCGACCGTCGATGTCCAAACCAGCATGCGCAGATTGAATTGAAACTGGCGGCATCGTCTGGATTGGGACTGCAGGGCTTGAGACCGGCATGGAAGTGCGCAGAGCTTCGGCATATGTGCGGTTCCCAACATCAGTGGACGCAGGAGGTGGTTCTAGATTTGTAACCGTTGGTTGAGGGCGACGGCTGTGAAGCACCTGCTGGACCTCGTCCCGAATAATATTGGTGATGCTGCTTACCTCCGGCTGTCTCGCCCCGTGTAGTTTCGCGATTTCCTCGCGGACGACGGAGCGGACGATTTCGCGAATCCACTCAATGCTGTTGCTCCCAAAGCTGGCGGAAAATTCAGTAGGTGATGCAGAATTCACTTGCCGGTTGAGTAGGGCTGACCGCTGATGAAGTACCCTCTCCATCGTAGTGGCTTCGGTCAGGAATTCTGCTACACTCTTCGGAGGACTCCGCACTAGACCAGCAAAAAGCTGCTCCTTCACGCCTCGCATCAGATAGCGTAGCTTTTTTTCTTCTGGCATTGCCGGATCCGCTCGCCTGAAAAGCTGCGTCATGTCCTCCACGTACATGGTGACGGTCTCATTAGGCATCTGGATGCGTGAATGCAATGCACGTTCAGCACGATCGCGGCGGTCGGGGCTCCGGTAGGTCTCCAAGAGGCGATGCTGGAACTCGCGCCAGGATGTCAAGACATCACTTCTGTTCATGAACCACGTTCGGGCGCCGTCTTTCAAACACGCGTAGACGTTGCGGAGTTTGGCGGCTTCGTCCCAGTAGTTGATCGCTGCGACGTGTTCGAACTCGCTCAGCCAGTCGTCCACATCCTCAAACAGCTCTCCGTGAAAGGGACTAGGCATCAGCGGGTTCTGGACAGTGCAATAAATTGGTGCCGACGACGTAGGAGTTTCCATGACGCCTTGAGGCGAAGTCATAGTCGCTCTATGGATAAGCTGTGCCGGTGTCTCTGGTGGTAGGCCTCGTTGGCGGCGGCTTGTTCTGTGAACTGGCGTGTCCACGGGCACAGGGCTTGTGTTCCGGCTCCTGGATGGGCTCTTGTGCATGGGGTGCGTCGTCAGTTGTCGTACCCCGCACCTCCACCAATCTTGTCACCAATCTTGTCTCACTCAAGGAAACCTTCCGCAGAACTGCTCGTCAAGCTAGGACAAAAAGAAAAAACTGCTCCAACCCAACCTCTTCGTCCTCTTCCACACGAAAACCACGCGAATTCATGCGGCATTAAAAAGCGGCTCAATCCCAACCTCTTCGTCCTCTTCCACACGAAAACCACGCGAATTCATGCGGCAATATCTAACTACTTGCTTATTGCTTCTTATGATGGCGACTACTAGAATGACTAAGATCAGCCGAATTAAATTTTTTGTGCTGAAGTTGCACTTAAGTCATGAATTATTAACTCCCCCAAAATGCAATTATAGTTGCTGATTGTTACGACACGTTATTTAAAGAAGCTAATAGCTAAGACTATTGCAAATGGCTCCCTTAGGCATACGGTCCGATTAAACGCGCAAAACTCCAAGGAGCGTTTATGTCTACCAATTCTTAGTGCGTTGCACACATGAATAGTAACTACTTGCCTAAAAATTCTGCTCAGCGCCCTTTCCACATATACACGCATACCTTACTGTTCTTATTACTAATGGTCTCTACAAAATATAGCGTATTACCTGGATAAAGTGCGCAGTCGCCTCGCCAAAATCAATGCAACGTCTTCGTGATACAACGCAGCTCTTTCCAGGAATCAGGCCAGTATCGTAACAAGGGCTTGACAGTGTTGTTCGCTCTAACTTGTATGCGGGCTTACCCTATGTAACAATGCACTCTGGGCAGTGCGCGTACAAGTAGGTTGTGAATAAGGGCCTCTGGGAGTTGTGTATTTTATTCCCCCGCAGCACCGTCCCCCTATGTCAATCGAACGTCAGGTTGTCCAGTGTGACACACACCAGGGTGAACGATACTATCTAGTGCCGTCTAATAGGTTTAAACAGCAGTGAGAAAGGTCCTGCTGAGTACAATGACTCCGTAGTGCGAGGGAAAATAGCAAGTGCGTTACGGCTTGAATTTGCCTGTTGTCGATATTTTTGCAATGCACAATGAATGACTGGACGAAACTCGTTGGCTGGAAGTTAACGGTAGATAGGCACTGTTCGTACACCGCAAACCATGAGCAGGATTCGCGAGACTTGTGCACTTCACGCCACCTCTCGTCAGCCACGGTGGTGGCCTGCCGTAAGTGAAAGGGGAATAGGCGAAAAAAGTCATATGCTGTGAAAAAGAGCTAGTTATCCAAAACCACTTCGGCTCTATACAGCAGAAACTTATTTTTATGACATGGTGACGTTACAGTGTCGCACTACAAACGGTTTGGCTTGACACATTGTTTAACATTTAACAATGGGGTCCCATGTATTTCTAAGGGTCGTGTTGAATTGTTTTGGCAAGTCAGACGCCTCGTAGTGTGAGACTGAAATTTCACCTGAATGTATTAGTGCGTAACTGCTACATATAAGCCTGAGTCATTTTTGATAACTAGCTTTTTCAAGAGATATGAGTTTCCCCCTATTTTACACTCAGTAATTGTAGGCTGCTTTTCCCCTCGCCAAGAGATGGCGCCACATGCAGATTTCCCTACTTCCACGACAACTTTCGCCCCCGGGGCCAAAGCTCAGTAAAGAATCTCAGGTAGCGTGGCGTCGCCTGCAGACCTTGTCTTACCTCAATCCATACATACTGTCCCAGACAGATCCCGACAATTACGCACCACAATGCAGGTTCTGCGTCACTAAAACAGCCACCCTGTACCACAAGATATGAGAATGCCCACACAATCCACCTCTCCAACCCACAGCACAGCAATACACTGTAGGGTGGGAGGCAGCTCTGTCCAGCTCGGATTCGAAGACCCAAGAGGCCCTCGTGAGACGAGCAAGGACAGCGGCCCGTGCTAATGGAATTCCCGGACAAAGGGTCCCACTCACTGACATTCCTTCCTCGGTCCCAAATAAATGCTTTATTCTCTCTCTCTCCTGGGAATTACTCTCTAGCTTAACAATTCTCACCGTTAAGATTAACATATTGGTGAAAATAAGACAAAAAGAAGTGCGTTTTTCGCTGCAAATGAAAAATGTCGTGGACTCATTAGCTATGGCATAATATTTTATTAAAGAGAAAGCGAAAACAAAGAAATCACAAGTGACAACCACTGCTTTTCCATTACTTCTTTTTCTCATGAAAATAGCATTTCCACTGAGTGTCACGCATAAGAAAACCCATGTGTTCAGATAACTTGCAGATACAATTTCTTAAAACACTGCATGTAACAGAGAGCTCAGACGCCGAACGTACGGAGACAAAAAAATGTAGTTTGGCTCACGTGCACTCCTAATAGGATTGATCGAATAAGAACTGAAAATTTAGATGATGAATTCACTCAATTTACGTAAATGGTGTAATGCTAAAACTGTGCAGGCCCCGCAAGATGGTGTCGAAATTGCTGAAGCTAGTAACTCCAGAACGTAATTCAGCAGTGAAAATATGTATGTGGAAGGTTCACACTTCGCCGCAATGTTTACACGTGTGGATACATAATTATAAAGTTTATTGCTCCCTAAGGTCGCTTATGGTATTACCGGCACGTTGGTTCTTGCCCATCTACCAGTGAATCACTACGTTTGGCAGTTTATCACTGTCTTATTAGGGCTCAGCTGACGGTTTGCCTAATGAGCTATTCATATTAAGTAATCTATTCCCTTCACCATGGGCAATTGTAACATATATATATATATATTTATATATATATGTATATATATATATATATATATATGTATATATATATATATATATATATATATATATATATATATATATATATATATATATATATATATATATATATATATATAGCTGAATTCTTTTCGCAATGCCAATTGAAGGCTAGAACCCCGAAGTCACATTTGTATCAGCAATGTCAAGTTTTCAATAATCAACAAACTTGACACTTTTGTTTGCACCATCTGGCTTTTTTATTATTTTATCAATGCCAAGTAGAAAGGAAATTTCTGTGCGGTAAAGACTCAGCAACATATTAATAACAATACACGGGGTGATAATATCTAAACCATCACTTCATGTTAAGAGATGGCGCAGTGGAGTGCACGGATATTTCACCAACCTGATGTCGCTAAACGTGCACTGACATGGCACAGCCCACGAACATCTACCATTTTGCCTCCACCTAGTTGCGCCCTCGTTGTTGGGGATCGAACGCTTGACCTTTGGGTCTGCAGCCGTGAACCGTAACAACTGAATCAACATGAAGGGCCTTATGAAAAAGAGTCGTGTGAATTGGTCCAGAAGATTTCTGCCGTGAAGCAAATTGGCTTTCCCGTGACAATGTAGGCGTTTTATGAGAAATGAAAGATGTGTGCTTATTGTAAAACAAAACATTGGTAATTGGTGCGCTGAGAGAAGCGAAACACATTGCAGGCTAAGGCTAAGCTGGCAAGTCGATATACAATGACCACTGGTTTCCACGAAACTTGCTTTACATGAGTTAATTTTCATTCTCGAAGTAAACGCACGTGATTGTTACATATAGTGCTTATAAATTATTTCCTTACCTCCATATAAATATACTTCTCTTTTGTTTTAACAGGCCCAATGCGCAAGTTGAAGGAAATTACGAGAAGCCCGCATAACGATGTTGCGCAAAAGAATCATGGTCGCAAACTAACAGATGTTAGGGGTGTTTCAACGCGAAAGTGTTAAAGAGCTCCTATCTCTTAGCGTTGTTGGCATGGGTATTATCGGTTGGGAGTGAAAAATCAGTATCTTGTGCTTGACGGAAAAGTAAAAACAAGGTGTAATAAAATAAATACTAGATTTACGGGTTCGAGCGAGTATTGAACCCAGGCCATTTCCGTGTCGCATGATTCAGGCAACCGAAAAAAGTTTAGGCACATCCTCAGCGCCTAGACCTTGTAGCGCATCATCATGATTCTCTTGACCACTGCGCCGCACCTTTCGCGCAGCTGATGCCTGGCCATGGTGCTTAGATCAAGCTGCGTGGAGGCAGAAAGGATTGACGCGCTTGGTGTGTCGGACACTGGAAGCCACCGCGACTCTGCTTCAGGCCTGAAATGAAATAGCGAGATAGGAATGACCACGTCAGCCGCTCACGTCTCGCCTCTCTCGACTGCTACAGTGGTGACCCGGAGAACGCGCGCTTCGACGAGCTATCAGCTGCCATGGTTCCGCGACTCAGCCCACTAGTGCCGCTGTTCCAATCGACCTACCCTAAAGTATGGTTCATGCAGCTCGACGACACTCTCACCTTGAATGGCGTCACGGACCAGCCGCTCATGCACGCCATTCTTCTCGACGCCCTTCCAGTAGAGCTGCGTCATCTCTCTGCCGCTTCAATCCAGCCCGCAGCCTTACGATGAGATGTGCTCGGCGGTGCTGGCCTCGTACGGCCTCACCTACCGCCCACTTCCGTGGACCCGCAACTTCCTGGTTTCCCGTGAGTCACAGCAAGGGGCATCAACCAACCATCATTCTTGCCTTGACCACTACCAAACTACTCCGGCTACGACTAGTATCTCAGATCTGGTTGCAAGCACATCAATTCCTCCACCCGATCACACCGACTAGGTAGGCCACTCCCCACGACGGTAACCTGACCGCACGCCTCGGAGTCTGACGCAGGCAAGCTTTCGCTTGTTATTGACATCACGACCACGGAACTTTCGTTTTCGACAATGTCCGATAAACAAGACTTTTTATCGACCTATCGTCTAGCCACTAGAGACGCGAGTCCCGCGTCCGACTGTCCATCCGCTGAGGTTTCGACATTAGGGCTCAACGCGACCAGTCTGCCACAAGACGTGTTTCTTCGATGCACTCGGCCGACTGTCTTTCAAATATGCTCACCATTCGCACGTTCTGCCCGACTTCCATGGCCCACAACCACTGTGACATGTCAGACTTCTCGACCACTACATTGCCGCATGCCCTGAAGTTTGCTACGCTCACGGACATCGTCACACCCGCTATTCGCCCTATTGAGACTTCCTTTTCTTCATCTCTCGCAGCAGAAGAGCAGCCATGATCATTATTGAGCGTCCTCACGAGCTGACGCTTAATCTCTTGGCAGCGCTGGCTAACCCTTTTCTTTTTCTTTCTTCTTGAGTTTCAATAAAGCCTTCCATGTTGCAAGACGTGTTCTTAGCTCGATGTGAGCCGCGCCGCAGCAGTAAGGCTCAGAGGTTCAATATATAGTGCCGAAAACCCAGGATCTTTGACGGTGCCAACATCACTGACGTTAAGAGCCACAACACCTCAGAAGACGGCTCCTGCGATCTTGGCTAGATACATTGACTGCGGGTGGCAGTATGGAACAATATTGTAGGCGACGCCACAGCCTGCGGTCCCAACTGAATGCCTCGGTGTGCAAGGTGGGAGACCACTTGCGAGAAATTCAAGCCATCATGGCAGCAGCTGTTAGTGTATTCGTCGACCGAATAAGCTCATTTTATGGTCAGATAGAGAAAGTGGGTGAGGCAATTCTTGATGAGACTCCAGATGAGCCGTTAGATAGCGAAACGCTAGACGCTGGAGAATACCATGACAAGGTTGTTAATCTCACAGCGTTTTACGAGTCAAGCTGAATGAATGTCTTGTGCCTCCAGCCACACGCCTTACGAACATCCACCCGCTATTATCTGGCAAAAGCAAGCTTATTCAACTACAACTCGTAAAATTTGATGGCAACTGCAGACTATGGCTGTGATTTTGGAAGCAGTTTACATTAGCAGTCCAAAACAACAGCGTGTAAAGCACAGCTGACAATTTCAACTACTTGAGCAGTTTGGTT